GTGTTAGCGAATTTGTAATCAAACGACAAACTACCTCGATTTCAGAATACTGTATGAAGTACCGTAATTTATATATACCTTTTAAATTTAATAATATTGATGTTTTAATAGAACTGTAAATAGCTACCGGTACTTGTTTAAATTTAGTCTATTTTGGCAATAACCAAATCAAACAAACGGATTAAATTACTAAAATCACCGATATAATGATATACAGATAGGCCTAAGTTTAGCTCATCATACAGGATAATACAGCAAATTTTAATTAGATTGGGGGGGGGGGCTATCCTGCCAATTAAATGAACCAAAGTGATTCTTCTTCTTTATAGTTATGGCGTTGATTTAGTAGGCCTAGCCTAAGTTGAACTACCAGATCTCACACAGTAGATTTGATGGTTTATTCGCTTCACTCCTCGGCGTCTCAATCACACAGGCACCTGTTCTTCATCGGTGAAATAATTCCGACTTAACAAGTATGGACACGGCTGTGGATGAGGCAGACCCTACAGTGTAGCTGGTCTATTGTACTTCATAAACGGGTAAAAGCCTAAGAAAAACCAACCAACATTATCTATACATCAACATGCATCAACACAATCTTCAACTACAGAAAGTATCAACGACGCGTTATAAAAAAATTGTTGCCGAAGCCTATACAGAAATTCTTGAGAAAGAATACCCGCTGCATAACTTTTTGACCACGCCCATAATATTCGTACACAGTACAATGACCGAACCACAACCGTTTCAACTTAACATTAATCCGCAAACCAACACCAATTCGTACTAAGGCCTAAACTAAAGGATACGGCTTGGATATTCAAACCCATATTTACATTCTTTAAATTTGGAGGCAATTTTGTATAGGCTTGTGGAACTTCGTGAATAGGTCTATAACAACGGTTATTGTATTTTTACCATAAACGCGACTCTGTACTTCTGAAAAGAGTGAAAAACGCGCATTTTGGCGGGTTGGCGAATACTCGTATACAATTGAGAAAGCAAACGGAGAAAAAACATCCAACAAATTTCGTTCCAATATTTAAGTTCTAAATCACTTATTAAATATTTTCATCTGTAAAAAATAATATATTACAGATGAAACACGCACTGAAAGTGGAAAACATTAGGAATGATTTTCTACTCACTTTATCAGGGGTTATCTAGTATGATTAAGTTTGTATGAACAGGCGATTATGATAAACAACAAAATAAACAATCCTACAGACTACGGAAGACCGGTAGGACCGTACGATGTGTCAATGGAATTCCAGATCATGTTTCAAGTCGTTTTCGTTTTACGTATTCAGTCGATGACACAATACGCACATCTGTTATGGTATAAATTGCTAATAATACAAAAATGAGAGGAAGACAGTCTTGTATGGGATGACGACTTCAAATAGAAACAGCTGTTTTGGAATGGTAAAACTCGCTAGTAAACACCGACAAAAACACGACAAAACGCTACTCGAATGCGATAAAAGAAAGCAATTCAGTGTAGGCCTATCTATATGAAATAAACGGGTCGACAGATATATTTAATTGTTTAATCCGGTCATTAAAATAATAGGATAAATACAATACAATCATCTAATGATAATAAGGGGATATATACATAAAACAAATTAAAGAAAATACCTTATACAGGAAAATTGTTTGATTCCTTGTGTGATAAGGCTGGATACATTGTTGTCTAAAGTTGGAAAATGCATAATATCACATTTGGACTTTTTAAAGTTGAAATTGGTTGCAATTTTCCCGATGCCCTCCTTCGGTGGTTTATCCAACAACAACGAACTAACCTTTCCGATTCCGGAACTGTGCGTTTGGCCCCTCTGTCAGGAAGTATAATCAAGGCTTAGAGTTGAAGTTCAACAACGTTTAAAGCACGCACACTTACCAGATCCATCGCAGAGTTAGAAAACGATTCCAGGAAAAATTACCTTCGGTACTTACGGGAGCACGTAACATTCCCATTTGGAAGTAGGCCTAAGCTAGCTGAGAGCGAGCGCGCGATGTGATGACTTACGTTGCTGGAGTCCTTTCGAGCAATGAGAGCGCATTCTTCGTACTCAAGTAGCGTCAATGACCCGGCGATAAATGGCTTTTGCAGAGGCTAAGTTTGATTTTAAATAGCTAGCCTAGAATGGCGGTATGCACCCGCGGAGAAAGTTCATGGCCAACAGACCACGCCCCCGAGCTCGGGACGCCAACGCCATTTCGGGCCTAGCCATTCGGAACGGCAGCCTATACTATTCCCATGGAAGGCTAATTCCAACATTACTGTGGAATAATATTATATCTTGATGTAAACGTCTGGCATTTTTGTCTGAAAATACTGTACTTACAAAATGTAAAAGATGGAGATCCGACAAAGAATACCTCCCTATTCCGATACGATACTGAATGGCATAGGCCTACATACATGGCGTAGAATCGATTTATATTCTAGCCGCAGGCTTTAAACAAATAGTCGATGCGATACCTTTTGTAACGAAGGAAATACGACATGAAATTTTACTCATTTTCCTCAGCAATTCACTTGAATATGTAACAAATCGTAGGAAAAATATTATTTTATTTTTATTTAAACTTTTTGATCCAAACAAAAATATTAAACTATGGAATTTCTCTAAAAGCCTCCGTCGTTTTTCCATGGTTGTGAAAATACGTCAATAGTATAACGGTAATGACAGAATAAAATCCATCAAAATTTATCACACCTTAATTGTAATTACTATATTGCAATCCATTTTCTTGGTGTACTAAGTAAAAAATATGCATGAAATGCCACAGTTTAGCATAAAGTTCAAAATAATAAGCCTACACTTTACTGTTAAGTACAGTGAACTTTTTATCGAACTATATGAGAGGCATTGTTTACTAATTTATATTTTCTTTTTTATCGAACTAAGATGATAAGCGTAAGACTTTTTTTCAATTCAGAAACGTTGGACTCAAATAGCATGATAAGGCGTGTAATGGATCTTAAATAACCCAGCTTCTCAAACTGAAACAAAATTACACGAGCTAAAATGTACGCCATCTCTACAATACTCCACACCCTTAAAATTACTCCTGCCTAGACCGTCTCCAAATTTGCATTCGGACACATTAAAATGGTTATCATCGAACATTATATTAGCCAAACTAATCAACGTGTCATAACATCACGCAGCGCTTCTCGTGTTACACGCACAATTACGATAAGATGAGGCTGCGTAAATTGCGTGACGCTACGCTCCCATCCCATGGTTGTTCCTTCATTCACGATGTCGGCGACAAGTTTATGAAAATCTTAATTTCCTGAGTTCGCATTAATTATTCGGTAGGCCTAATTAGGCGCCAACGAGTAGAACGTAGAAGTGGTCGACATATACGACCGCAATAATCAACAGTTTTTGAAATAAAGAAAATTGCTTAATGTAACCATATGTTAGGATACTCTGTGCTGAGTTTGGTTTTATTTTGTCATATTTGTTTATGACACGAATTACAAGGGCATTTCTTTGTCTGTAAATTTTTTATAGCACCTATTTTGAATTACACTTTGTATTCAACGTTATTTTGCTCTGTAAGTTAAAAATATTAGTGTAAATGCGGCGGCCATTTAACATGCTTAATTAAATTAATTAGGTTAAATAGCGGGTGATTTATAACTATTGACAATTGGGACGATTGTGAAGGATGTTCCCAATCGATTGTCAAGTCGCCGCATGGTGGCGCTATATGTATATCTGTCTTCTAATCTTATAAGAACCTGTACAATTTTGCCCAGGCTCAGTGTTCTTATTTTTTGGCCGATTTCAGGCTCAAAATGTTCTTATTTTGGGTTTTATTTTTACGCACTTTTTAAACATAGAAAATTATTATTTTACAGTCAGTATATTACTTTACTATTACATAGTGACACCTACTGCAAATAAGGTAAAGATAGATTTGTGTGTTTTCTACTTTTTAAAAAATAAATAAAAACCTCATTTGACATTTTACCTCAGCCTCAATTTGTTCTTATCTTGTTCTTATTTTTTTAAGATATTTCACCCTCAGTGTTTTTATAAAATGTGTTCTTAAAAAAAGTGTATTTAATGCAAATTGAGAATTCTGTTATTGTTTTATTGTTGTTTTTTAAATCATAGTACTGCAGTGATTGTCACAACTACTTAATAGCTGTAACCAACATTCAGTATACAATCTGCATTTCTTCGATCGCCTCCCTTGTTATTAACGAAGGCGTCATTACATTATTTAGGTACTGTTATGTTTAACGCACTTTTAATCAAACGTGAATGATAATGCACAATTAAGCTGAAAGACATAGGCCTAGGGCCTAATGCCAGCATCTTTATTGATTTTAAAGTTTATTTTCGAAGTCACTTCGTTGTAAAACATCAATTACAACAAAACGCATTGACGGTTTACAAAACAGAAAAAAAAGAAAAGAAAATTACTATATTATAAAATAACTGATCTTTGTAAATATTTAGAATTTTTTACTCAGTCAGATGTCTTTTTTAATTAGTTAGGTTTTGTTGTGCAATTTTTAAATGTTTAATCTTTTTCTTTTGTTTTCTTCAAATTGTTGAATTTAATTCCTATTTGTATTTCTATATAGGCCTATTTTAGTTAGGTTAGGTCTTGTTGTGCAATGTTAACTCTTTTGTAATAAGAGTACGCCAATTCAGCCACTGGTTGCGATTGAATTTTTAAATTTGAGCAATAAAGATACTGAGAATAATTTGCATTATATTCATAGGAAAACCCTCGTAATAATGAAAAATAAGGTAAAAAGACAGATAAATTTAGTGATGAGAACTCTCTTGAAGATGGCAGAGGTTTTCTTAATGTCTCTGATGTGTTTCGAATCTTTGGGATTGCAACGAACAAAAACAAGGTCAAAACTGAAACTAATCTAGGATTTCATTCACGTAGTAAAGACATGAGATAGTGTATCTTTAGGCCTATAGATAGGCGTACAGAGATTGTCATATTTTATTTAGATATGAACTTGACGAACCAAGACTGCGTTCTGCATTACCATACATCTTTAGACTACTAGAGGCCTACAGCTATTGAAATTAATGATTATTTATCCTAATTACCAGTCCTCTATATACACAATCCACATGCTAACTTGTGTGAAAATAGTAGTTTTGGTTTTACTTTTTATTAGAATTAATAAATGATTATGAACAAACATCTGATTCCACAGCCAAGCTTACTAGTAACATTGCACATAATCGATTCTATATAATATTACATTTATTAGATTTTCATTTTTTCTATTTTAAATTTATTCGCGACATAAGCCTATACCACAACTTGAGAAAAAAAAAATATTTTCAAATATCTGAGAGTGCCATTTCCGTCTAGGGGTGTCATAATCATAAATGTTCTTACCTCTAGACCCTACATCTGTGAAAGCGAATTCCTGGATCCGCCATTGTTAACTGTACCACTAATATGATACTTATAACTAGCCTATTTATTATTTATGTTTTCTTATAATTATTAATGTCTAAAGATGGCTATCGAAAACCGTAGGGCCTACCAGTAATACATGTGGGATCACAGTGGAATTAACTTCGAATATAGAATTATTGAACATGTTTATGTCAATTCATTCAATGGGGGAAAAACAATAGACATGCTGCCTTGAGGCCGAGTAGATGGGTAGGCCTAACATTACTTAGCAATGAAATTTCATTAACAGATCTTACATTGTCATTTCGTCATTTTTAATTGTGGCTGAAAAATCTGAATTTTGTGTCTTGATGGAAGCTAAAATATAAACATCGCCCTCTCTAGTTGGAAGGGTTCATAAGTTTATAAGATTGTCGCAAAATACAGTAGGTCAATCCGATGACAAAAAGTCCAACGTTTGTTTTGTACATGAAATTGTGTATTTTGACAATAATTTAGGAATTAGGAAAAGTATCATAAAGCCGCTAATTTCCAACAAAAATAGATACCACACAGCGAAGCCACCAGGTTACTGTTAATTACTGTACTACAATATATAATAAACATTTCTACATGTTCATGTACGTACGTGGCCTTTGCGAAAAACTGGCAGTGCCACGCGGCTTACAGTAGGTCTACTTTTTATTTATACGGAAGAAAGCATATAAGACTAATGTTCAGAAAATATAGATGTCAATTGAAGACGTTTGAGAAACGGCTGAAAATTTTAGATGATGATCTACTGAGGCTTAACCATTGGTAGATGACAAAATAAAGCAGTGCCACAACAACTTGCCAACAGTATATCAATCGTTAATACAGTATTTCAATTGTATTCAAAAAGAGTTAAAATGTCGAGTACAATTGATAGTCCTCTGTTATAAACAAACATAATAAAATTATAATTTCTTATACGTAAAATGAAATGTTATACTACACAAACAATAATCACAACTTCATTAATTTAGCTTATTATGTCCAATTGGATGCAGTTTTCCTCATCGAATGATATATGATTGTTTATAATTTTAATTCAATTTTATTTTAGTTTTGACCACGAATGATCTAAAATATAATTAATCTAAATAATTATAGTAACAATAATTTCCAATGCAAATAAAATACATTTAATGATAAAAATCAACATAAATAATTATAACAATATAACCTGATACAGGAGCTATCAATAAAGATGATCGTGTAGGCCTAAGTTGCCCTGTTGTCAGTGGCGGTTTCAAGGGGGAGGAAGCCAGCCCGGGGACCCTACATTTTTCAAAATTATTTTTAAAAATGAGAAAAAAAAACCATTAAAATTGTGCCATAATCACACATTTTCTTACCTCAGCACCCCTCCCCCACCACCACCAGCCATGGTGGGCCGCAGATGGTATAGACCCCAATCTGTGAAAGTCTCACCGCTAGTGCTGAAACTCTTTGGTCAAAACATGGACCTATCAATAATAATCATATTAATATGTCTATGCTGAAACCCACTGAGAAATATGTCCCCACCCCTCACCTTACCCCTTTTCTATAAACTCAATGAGATTTAGCGCGGGAACAGACTTCTTGAGGTCGTTTGTGATTGGCTTACACATGTCATATGACCTTAGCGTTAGAGCGTTTCTACTTCCGGGGACGCTGTAACGACCGTCGCTGCTGCAACGCGGGCTGAGCCTTGTTTTTTCTTGCTACAGTTTTTGTATTGTTATTTTGCTTGGAAAGTACGATATTTTCAATATGGCTAGTCAAACGAGGTCGCAGAAAACTACATCAGTGAGGAAAGAATATGTCCGTACCTCCGCCAGGACCCCAGGTTCTCCTCTTAGCCCGACTAAAATGAACCGGCATCAAGAAAAGGAAGAACTGGTGCAATTGAACACCAGATTGGCTGCCTACATTGACAAGATCCGCTCACTGGAAGTAGAAAACTCTGGCTTACAATCTCGTGTTACGACCATTGTAGAAGATCATTCACGAGAGGTATCTAACATCAAAGCTCTCTACGAAGCGGAGCTTGGCGATGCCAGGAGGCTTCTAGATGAAACATCTAAAGAGAAGGCCAAGTTAGAAATCAATGTTGGGAGGTACACACAGGAACTTGATGACTTCAAAGCGAGGTAAGGACTTGCTTGATATGATTTGGGGACGGACATTACTCAAGGACAATACTTGCTCAGTCAGTGGGAGGCCTGTAGTAGTATAGCCTAGTAGCCTATAATATTGTAGCAAAACTTTCTCAGGTAAAAACAAATGGAAGGGAACTTCTTGTGTCCTTATTTATATTAAATTTAGAATTAGATGGGCGGGCCTAGGCTATCTACAATAGCTATTAGTAGGGCCCTATCCTAGGCTTAGCTTGGGCAGAGCAGATGCTGCGTACATGACAGTAGGCGTGCAAGTTCTGTATTTTTTTTTTTTATTAAGATAACATTTATTTCGATAATAATGCCAAACAGATACAATTATAACAGTACAAAAAAATGGGAAAAAACATTATTATCATTGGGTCCTAGCTAGAAGTAGGTACTTGTCTCGCTAGGACCCAGTAAAGAGATAGAAAGAAAATAAATTTTAAAAAGACAAAATAAACTAAATATGTATATATTAAATAATAATAATATATGCATCCATTTTTCTACTTATATTTTATCAATTGAACTTATTCAGATTTTGTAGAAAAGTAATTAGTAAATAAAGTAAGTACAAATATATATAAAAAAGATACAGTATACATATTATATAAGGGATTCTTCCTTATATAATATGTATATCTTTTTTTTTTCTTTCCTATTTTTTTCCTTTTGTTTTCCCCCTTTCTATTCTTTTTTATATGCAACATAAGACCTATGTATTTTAACTTTAATTTTGCTCAGAATATTCTTAGTACAAAAAAAAAGATTTAAACATATGTTCATAAATAAAGTTAGCTTTATACTTACTGTATAACATTTTACAGCATTAAAATAGACATTTCCCCAAGAAAACCTAAAATAACTAGTACCTGTACAAAGTAATAGATAAACATTAACATTGGAAATAAGAATAATAG